TATATATATATATATATATATATATATATATATATATATATATATATCCTCCTACCTCCACACTCACGCTGAAATGGCCCTGAGAAATTCTTGAGCAAAACTCCTTAGCACTGCCCAGATAAAAAAAGATGCCTTCCTCTCTGGGGAAAACTGCCGTCTCTGACATTTATTCCACATCCTGATGCTTTCACCATTAAGTGCAGACCGCAGACCCTCAGACACAGCTGTCAGTCCCAACTTGTGAGTAGTTCCTGATTGAAACAATATGATGTCATCCTTCGGAAATCACAATATAATATCCCCCAAGAAAGCATTGTACATAAAAATTCTGGTCCAAGTAAATCAATGGAAAATTCCCCCAAAACACTGTGGCAAAATCCACTGATTGCCCACAGAATCCATTCTTTCCTTCTTTCGTGAAAATATATCTGGAGCAGGGCAAGTGGCTTCCCAGCCATACTGTATCTCCCAGCTTTTCTTGAAGTTGGATGTGGCCATGGAACTAAGTGGTCACCAGTGAGAGGGAATGAGAGGGGCAGCCCTTTAAGACTAGGCTCTACCTTTTCCATACTCTTCACTCTCCAGCAAGCCAGAGCACAGCTGCACCTATGGGTGTGTGCTGTGACCATAAACACAAGACAACACCCTAGGGCAGTGATTCTCAAACTGTGGCCCCCAAAACACCAGCACCCCCTGAGAACTTGTTAGAAATGCAAACTCTCAGTCCTTTCATCAGATCTACTGAATCAAAAGCTCTGAGGGTGGTGCCAGCAATCTGTATTAAACCAGACCTCTATGTAATTCTGATGCTCACCTATGTTTGCACATGCTTCCCTAGGGGGTGGCAGAAATAAGACAGAAGGCATCTTGTTCCCTGAATGACTACATGGCACAGAGAGTCACCAGGGGGCCTGGAATTCAGATCCTTACAAGGAAGAGAAGTAAACTTCCATCTGGTTTGGGCTTTGTTTATTTATTTATTTGTTTTTATTTTTGGAAGTGGGGATGGGGGTGTCTTTTGTTACAGCAGCTTATCTTTTCAACCTAAATAATACAAACCTCCAGGAATGAGTAAAAACCCAACTGCAGGCAGTGGTCCCTCTCTCCAGGGTTTGCTAGACCAGAGCTTCCCCATGGGAGCGTCCACAACAACCCGCTGCAAATTCAGTGCGGGTGTGCTCAGATCATGACCTCCTCGGGCTTCAGGGCAGCCAGCTGAAACCTATCTGGCCAGAGACCACAGGCTGTACAGCCATGAGCAGCCTTCTCCATTTACCCCAATACACATGATCATTTTTGTGTATGCCCTGACATGAAAACTGCCCTGGGGAGGTCTCCTGCTCTTCATAATGTTCCATCTTCTGCTTCTTGCTCTCCCTTCCCCTGCTTCTCTGACCTCTTAGTACGCAGCAAGGTCTGGGTCTCTTGCCCTGATGGCCTGACTTGGGCACCCTGCTCCAGGTTGGCTATTTGAACATTCTCCTGAGCTGTGCCATGCTTCTGAGCTGATGGTCACTGGGATTTTCCTTTCCACTCCAGTCTCCTTAAAGACAGGGGGATCCATTCTCAATTTTAAGGCAGTGCTTGGAGATTGTTGGAGGATTTCTTTTCTCCCAGGTTTCTCTGCCTGAGTCCTTTGCTCCAAAGGAGGCTGTTTGGAGCAGGTAGCTATCCGCACCTCCCCAGGTCAACTCAGGCTCAGGGGTGACTGCTTCATGGACCACTTCATGTGCTGGCAGGCAATGTGATGGGTCTCAGGGACCAGAGCAAAAGAAGGCAGTCTAGAGCCTCCGTCCTTTGCTTTTACTCCCATGCCTGATTATATTGGTTAGCATTAGGTTCAGCTGAGACTGACAGACAAGGAGGACTTAATAAGGAAGTGCTCAAAGAATTATAGGGACATGTCAAAAGAACACACAAGCCAGCTGAAAGGGACTCCTACTGGCCAAATCTGTGCATCAGAGTAAGTAATGATAATAATATAGATCATAAGCCGTTGAATAGAAATAAGAATCCATGAGTCCATATTTACCGTAGGAAAGAAAGAGAGAGAGAGAGAAAGAAAGGAAGGAAGGTCCTTACATTTGTATGTCAACTAATAAATGTAGAAAACTGACAGAATTAACAAATCACACAGGCACCTTATGTATTTGCACAAAGGCACCTTATGTATAGCAGCAGCCATGATTCCTGGGCTGTGTCTCTTCCCATTCGGGGCTGGAGTAGGGCTGCCAGATAGAATACAGGACACCCAGCTGAATTTGAATTTCACATGAACAAATAAGACTTATTTCAGATAAGTATGTCCTGTGCAATTTTGGGAACACACTTACCCTAAAAAAAAATGTATTTTGTTTCTCTGAAATTCAATTAACTGAGCATCCTATATTTTTATTTGCCAAATCTTCCAGCCCCAGTCTGGAGGCAGTGGTATACTCAAACTGACATGTATCATTTCATGAGAGCCAACTGCTAAATTTTTAGGAATTTTCTGAGCCGACTGTTAAACCACTGGGAGCTTGAAATCAACCATGGTGGGAGTATTTACACCATGGAAACTGCAGTCATCACAAATCAGTG